GCCGCAGGCTGCTACAGCACCGCGGACATCCACGAAAGGAAAACGGAAAGTAACGGCTGGCCACACGGCAATCAAAAGGCCTAGAAAGGCTTTCGGCACAGAAATCGTACTACTAACCACCAAGGACACTGCCGATGAGACAACGAGTATCGGCACACCAGCAGAGGCGACAAGCCCCTTCAGAACTACGGAAAATGAAACACTCAGAGCATTCACAAATAAGGACTGGAAAACGCAGGACAGTCTTCAACGTCCAGTATGCCATGATGGGTCGGCAACGGAAGAGAACTCGGCATGTGAAGATCTTGAAGCCAGATACGCCGCTCGTGCTGAAAGACGACTCCGTCGTACACGGCTCAATAAGCAGAAGAAGGTTACATTCGAACCTTCGAACCAGGATGCACCACACGGTTCCCAAATCTTCGTTGAAGGTGCCCCTTATCGACCCACGGTCGCGACCCGAGAAGTGGAATTGCCGACTCCAACAAATGGAGAAAGCGCTGCGACAACAAAACCACGACTTCTGTTATCATACGCAAACATCCGAATAATGACTCCAGATGGAGATGGGTCCCTGAAAATCGAGGTCGATGGTCACTGGGCTATCAAATTCGTTGACAAGCCAGTGCCTTTCCCATCAAACGGTAGCCCGTCTACAATTTGGGTTTCGCCGATGCGCCCGCTACACCCTTAAGAAGCAACCAACGAAGACGCCGATTATCGACGTGAGGGGGTCAAGTGTGTGCAAGCTCGAGCCCCGCGGACGGTCATCAAAATACCTTGGGACTTTCTGATTGATGAGATCTATCCACCGTTTCGGCTCACATTTGCATAGCTACTTACAAATGCCAACTTGTTTTCTCGATCTCGTTTCGTCGTTTTTATTGCCTTACGTACTCTTACAGCTCAGCGAGACTATCATGATGCCATCGCCGATACTCAGGCCAATGAATGTATTCTCACCGAAACCAGTAGTGATATCAATGTCGGCGAGTACAGTTTCGCTGTGGATCACGGTCACAGCACGCTGAAAGTCGTCGCGGTTCGGTTTCTTCGCGGCGACGTGAACTTAACTAACTAGCTGGCTACCGCCTTTGTTCGGTGCTGTGGCGTTTCTGATGCTGCTCGGCGTAACGCCGCAATTTTCAGTTGAGCTTGCATGTATAGTGAGGTGATTACCCCTCATTTTGCGCCTTCAACTTGTTATCTGAATCATATACAGTAGTATTCAGTCTAAAGCAGTGACCCACTGCCAACTTTGCGACAAACCTTTCGACTTTCATAACGCACTTTCAGTAGCCGCAAGACACGCCCTCGAGGCATGCGAACAAGGAATGTTGCTCCAACGCTCTCCAGCAGCCTTGAGGCATTCTCTGAAGCTGACTAAGCTCCTCCGACCAGCGAGGCCTTCATCTTCTTCATATTCGTCATGTCATTCTTACTTCTAGACGTAGTAAGACGTTCCCATTCGTCGTCTAATTTCTCTTTGGTGGGCTCCTCAGGCGCAGGGCTGGGAGAACGGTGCCCGTTTTTCATGTTATACGGTGGTATTCCTCCTGTTGAGACAAAGTCTTCACTTCCCGTATCGCTGAAAAAATCGTCGTCTTGATCAACGCCACCTTCGCCATCCGTTTCAGCATACAAAGCTACCTATGTAAGCGGGAGTCACGAAAACTAGGTTTTAGACATCAGCCTTACCATGGACGAAGGGGACGGCAAGTTTATTGCAAACATTGCTGCCATTATGTAGGGCTCTCAGCTTGGCCTTCAGCTCCTCTCGAGTGGTTCGGCACTTTTCCGTCTCGCCAGCGAAGCGGCCGGTACTATCGTCGTCCAGCTTGAAGATAGACATCGGGTCCATTATTTCTCTTAACTTGCCCACCACGCAAGTTTCGATGACTTTCAGGGTAACATCATCGATGAATCGGCTTAAGGCAGTCTGAGTGTGAGCTGTGTCAGCCGGCATGTTTGTTGGGTATTGCGTGACGGGGGGTGTACCTGATAATATGCAAGCAGGCAGTCTAGCGCATCAGCGAGTGATCCACGTCGAACTCTGGCCGCTTCACGAGCTTCTGTACCAATTTGCTGAAGTCAATGGACGCGTGGACGGAAGTTTCACGATCCATATATATAGGTTTAAACGCCTCCTTCAACAAAGCGCTCACGCGCACCTCTTCTCGTTGATTGAGAACAGTTTCGCGATCTTTGATGAAACGCTGGTCGTATGTAATAGGGTGACTCTCCTGATGTGGCTTCAACAGCTCTGACAGCTTGGCAAGCGAGTTCTGCTGCAGGGCGTTTAGGTGCGGCTTGAATATGCCAGAGAAGATCGTCTCGGCTGCTGCAGAATCAGCTATGTGATCAACCAGACGCTTCAGACACTGGTAAGTAGCCTTGCACACATTCCGAACATGCAGCTCGGCCATTTCCCCCCACGGCGATGAAAGCTCTTGGAATAATTCCGTCACGATTACAGGATTGAGCATACCGGCCAATTCCGTGCCTCGATTCTTCCGGATCATAGAAACGGTTTTTTCGATGTACTGCTCTGGAGTCAATACATCATTGCGCGCCTCGGTACCATTACTTTCCGTCGGCTATGATATTGTAGCGCTGACCACGCTCCGTCATATTCTTGGCAAATTCACGGTTGCGATTCTGTATAACAGCACGGAGACGATTCTCGTAGCCATCAAAGGTGACGGATTCACGAAAGTGTGGGTCGGTGTAGGTGCCGGCAGTCGCATTCTGGATCAACTCCTAGTAGGATTGGCTGATCTTTATAAGATACTCCTTTTGTTCGCCAGTAGTAGTCCGCGCCCTGCCAAGCTTATCCAAGCTCTCTTGGCATTGAATGGACAAGTCCTCGATTTCCCTGATAAGATTTGGCAACTCGCGAGAGATTTGTCGCACAAGTACCGTGCTCAAGCCGCCCTCAGGGATGTGCTGCCCCGACACTCAGGTGCAAGGCTTGCCCAAGCGCCGGACGATAAGAAGTAAGACTCATCAGCGTCGCGCTCATCAAGTGTCCATAGCTCCCTTTCAGTGTCCCTATTTCTCAACACATGCCATCCAAGGCGGAATGTGACCTCTTGGTTTCGTGCCAGTGACAGGAAGCTTCGCTCTAATTCGGGTCCTGCATTGAGTGTATCTGGCTTCGTGATGACACCAAGTGTCCGCATGCCATCGGGGTCCGCCGTTCGAGCCAGTTTCAGGACGATCTGGTTGGCGTAGTCGTTCTTTGCCGATACAACAGCAAGGATGATACTTCTCTTCTGCTTCATGTAGCGGGTCACAAGGCGTTGGATGAGGCTAATGTCGGATGCAGATTGGTACTTGTTTTTAGAATGAACCAGACCAGGTAGATCGACAATGGTAAGGTATGGGCGATCAGGCCCACAGATCTCAATGCGTAGGAATATCTTTGGAGAAAGCGTGCTGCATGTCCACAGCACTCTTGGCCTGCTCAATCAGGCTCGGGAGTTCATTGAAGTCTGTCAGTTCCGCATGGAACGCATGCAAGGCTGCCTTCATGATTTCGCTGCGGGCGTGGTGTGGGACGATGGAGACGAAGATCGAAGCAGACCTTGTTCTCCGAAGAATGAGCTCGGTCGGAAAGCGAGTACACAGGCTCCCATGAACAGGGAAAGGAACACCTGAGATGCCCTCCAGAACCGAGCTCTTGTCTGAAGATTGGTCGCCACAAACAATGATCTGTGGCAAGGGAATCAAGCTACCGAGACCATGCGAGCGCAGCGAGTCGACTGTGCCGAGCAGTGAAATCTGCACTCCTGGAGAGACCTTGGAGTCCGTGTGCTGTGCGTAGCTTCGTAACCATGATGATAAGTCTAGATGGATAATATGTACGAAAGAAGGAGGTTTATATACTTAGCAGTCGCCATGGTCTGGCGGCAACGACCAATGCCAGCCACACCAGCTGCCCTGCATGCTGACAGCGGTTAAATTACAGCGGAGCCCGTTGACGGACTACGTAGCAGCAGAGAGGACACTCTCTAGTGTCGAAACGGCAGACATGCTCCAAGAAGTCGCGCCATGTGTGTCGCTGTAGTGTTACGGGACTTCATCTTGCTGCCTCTCTTGACTGCAGAAGCCGTAAGGCATTCTGGTCATCCCAATAGAACCGTCCAGTACGTAGTAACGCGATCTACCGCTTTTTCTGTGCCTGAACTCAGCTTTACATGAAGGCGGTTCAAGCGACGATACGATTTACAATGGCCACAGGCCGACTGAACAACAACTAGGATGACCATCACCCCGGCTACTTTCCGTGGTAACGCTGCATACAACACTCGTGTCGCTGATAACAGGCGCCGCTTTAGCTGCTGTAGATAGGACGCTGAACACTTGAGGAGTAGCCTTG